CGAGCATAAAACTTGTGTTTGCTTTCAGTAGCTCGAATAATAAACAACCGGAGAACTTTGTTCTTCTATTATATCTATACTTCGTTGAATTTTATCTGTATATTCAGACTTTGCTTTTGAAGTATGTGTAGCAGTAAACTGGAATTTCAGCTGCAATGATAACTTCGTGCATAAAAACGCTCCATCTCTATGATAAGATTGATGCCACTTGATGCACTGAAAAAGCTCGGAAGACCTGCAACTTTCAATGCATTATGCCTCTTCGCGAGGTGAAGGATGCTTATAAATAAAAATGGACTGGAGAGAACTGCATGGTTGCTATCATGCTGACTTCAAAGATCATTAGGGTAAGTAAATATTACAGCTCACTAATATGTACCTGATCCATTTTCATCTTTAATGGAACCTGTTCTTCTGCTAGGTGTTGAGCCTTTTTTAACTGTCCACTTGAAGTTTCCAGGGCCAAATTGGAAGTTGGAAATGTTTCCCATGTTAAAGTTGCAGTTTGCTGGAAATTTTTTTGATATAGTAATTAGATACAGAACGTTAATTGTTTTGGTATTTCTATTTCTATACGGAACAATCATCAAGTTTTATACGGAACACGTCACTGTAATTGAAAACTGTTCATAGTTTTTAGAGAATTACGATTATTTTTTCTTGAAGATACTTACTTTTGCTAAAGAAAAGCGTTTTTTATAATTAAAGTAACTAAATTACACGAGGACAAGCCAATTTTCTATGGAATGAATGTGTCACTAAGGGGCCACCGTAGTTTTGTGCAAGTCAGTACAGTCAAGTTAAGTTTAATACTCTTTGGTTTTAAGTATGTAGCATATGTTGTGATTGTTGAGCTTGTATAAGCCCTATTTTTGTCCAATCACAACGCATGCTACATATGCTTTTGCAATGCAATTGTATTCAAACATTTTCCCAACCATGCTTATATAAAATGTTTGAATGCAATTGCATTGCGAAAGTTTTTGTTGTCTGTTTTTCGTAAATGAAAATAAGATGAAAAAAGAACTGAACAGTGTTATTGTCACTTACTGCCTTTAGTTTTTTTATTTGGATAATGCTGTTTGATCCTATACAGTACAATTAGTATACCATCATATTATATGCATTTAAGCTTTTAATATTTCAATTTACTTAGCTAATCAGTTGGGTGAAATGCATAAATTTCTTTCACACTTCGCAGAGCATTTATAATGGGCTCCTGAGGCCTTGATTTCAACAGAAAATAGTGCAATGCTCATTGGCATCGATTGGGAAGTTTTGAAAGTCATTCAAAAGTTTGTTTAGCATGAAATTTTTCAGTTATGTTTGTTTAATTGGCTGTTTTGCTTTTTTGGTAAGTTTTTGTTTAAATTTTGATTTTATTATGTTGTATCCAAAATGAAAATGTCAAAACATAAACTCTCATTTCTTTTTTGCTATTTCTTTAGTAAAAACTATACTATGAAACTTATAAATTACCACTTTGCCTTGAGCAACAGCGGCACTTTTGGTAAAATAATCAATTCACATGGTCCTCATAATCAAATTTTGAGCTCATTTTCATAAAACCTTGAGCTTAGATTATCATTGATTTTCATTCAGATTCGAAGAGCTGGATAAGAGATGGAAAAGCAGCCAATTCAAATGATTTAACTTAACAAGCTCTATTTACATAAAGCTTGTAGTTGCATAAATTATTGTTGAATTGTTCTATTTTCACAAACATATATTACATTTTAAATAAAACATAAAAATACATACCTTGAATTTGTATCAAATGTTTGATCAAAAGTAAACACACCAATTGTGTTACTTGTACATAGCTTAATATGAAACTCATAAATTGACTGTACATACATATGTACATATAATATTGCTCTATGATGCTTTTCTAACAAATTGTGAGACGTATACGAGATAATTATAATACTATCTCTTTGTTAAGATACGATTTGATTATCCTCACACAAAATTTCTGAGGTCAGGTTGGATGATGAATATGAAATAAAAAATCACAGATGCGTATTTGAAGAATTTATTGAGCTAGGAGCATACGAAGCTCGCACACAGTGTGGAGTTGTTCACTTGTGACAAAATATATTCAACATGTTGAATAATTGTCGACAACGGTACGCGTGCCAAAATTGCAGAAAATGACACAGCACACCTGCGTAAGTAATGTATGCGAAGTGACTCTTTTGTGTGCTGCAGTAAGAAAGCCAAGAAATCAGGTTTAGATATTGAAGACACCTTTAAAATAAAATTTTCGTCAGAGGTATGTGATTACATGGAACATTTCATGGATGCACCATTGCTCAAGTTTTACACCATCGTACTTGAATTAAACATTTCTCTCGTCAATTTCAAAGTAATAATTTTTCTTTTAAAATTATAAATTTGTAATTGTAAATGTCATAGACTCCTAACAGTTGCCAAAGCTGCAGGAATATTATAGTTAAAAGGCAGATAATCTACATAATATATAGCATTTATTTAGCATTGTAGCATACAGTATAGCATAATAGTTATCCTTCAAGGAGTCCTATTCCATGATGTCACAGGGGGCTGATCTAGGGTTAGGTCATGCGATTTACGTATATTTTGCAAAGGAGGCACAAATTTTCACAAATATTCTTGGGAGAATACTCCACATTAGCCGAGTTGTGTGGCTCGACTCATAAGTTGGGTGACATTACTTGCTTCTTAATGGAGTCCGAAAAAGGCCTCCTATTAAACTAGTACACAAAGATATGACTTGACTTATAAGCGGGGTGACTGGGTGACCTGACTTAGTTTTCTGGAGTCCTTTTCAATACCTTTGACCAATCACAGAGACACAACTTGACTAATATGTGGGAGGAGGGCAGCCACGCCCCTTGAAAAATGAAATTTATTAATTTCGAGATCAGTACGGGAAATAGTTTTTTATAATCGATAAATTAAGGATTCTATATTTTTGACTTGCAACCGTTCTCTTGAGATTTACCAAATAATGTTGCACGTCCACGTCGGCTTGTGCAAACAATAACACTGATGAGCTATTCTTTTGTATAAGATAACCAACATGGCTGAATTGCAACTCAAGAATTTCGCTCTTTGCATATTTTGAGAACACTCTTTTTAAAAGAACAAATCTGTGGCTAAATTATGTTCGCAGATCTTTGAATGATGTTTACATTGAGGCGTATTGCGATGTTGTTTTATACCAAGGAGCGAGCTCTTGGAAGTAGTTAGTAAAGAATTTTCTTCCGAAGTTTACGTGTATAACAAAAATAGTGTGATAAATATTGTCGAATGTAATCAAATCAGATTCTTAGTTTAATATGAATCAGTATAATAAACGCATTGTTGAAAAACTCTATCAAAACTATCATAAATATGATCTAATTCGCTCAAATTTGTCGTCTTTGGAAAATATCAGCAAACTAAGCTTAGCTATATTTGATTTTATCACGAGTGTTACTTAACAAGAACAATGGGATATGTATGCAATGATTATATTGTTCTTATAATTATTGACCTTAGATTTTTTGCGTTTTGCAGTCAGACAGGTTAAGTCGAATGCTTTTAAACGACATTGGCAACAATAATGAACCTCCCTTGGGATAAACCTGCATGTCAGCATGCAAAACGTATACAATCTAAGTCCTATTTGATAAATGTAGGAGATGGAATTATTTCGACAAAATTACTATATAATCGAAAATAGTTTCTCCATTCTGCGTTTTGAATGAATTTGCTGCCGGTTGGGAGGGATTGGGACAATTTCTACCAAAAAAAGAGTTACATAATCCATATGATTATTGACAGATGAAAACGTATTATTTTGTTTTGTTAAAATCAATGAATTTATTTATTAAGTAGTGTTTTCTATAATTTCTAGTTTTTCTTAAATTCTCCCGCGTGTTTCTTTAACTCGTTAGAAACGCACGCAAAATGTTTATTTCTTATTATCTCATTGTCTATGTCGGAGGTCAAAACACGGTTCTCATTGTGGCAAATCATCAAATTCTCATTTCCAAGTTCTTCATCAAAATCTTTATCATACTTTTACAAATGAAGGGCAAGTTAATAATTTCTGTCTCAATTTTTCTAATTCTAAATCATAGTTTTGTGCTTATTGCTTGTGAAACTCCACAACTTTGGCGTGCGTTTAAAGCTTCCTTGTAAAATTAAATACTCGTGGATCGTGCATAAGAGAGGTCTCAAAGATCGACAATAGAGGTTCAGGTACTCTGCGAAGTCACGGCCTGATTTTTGCAATTGGGGAAATAATTTTGAAAAATAATCAAGCACAACCTAATAATACTGAACGTCAAATTTAAAATATTCTTTATCACTATTTATAAAATAAGCACAATAAAACGTGTGCCCGGTTTGGTCTAGAGCTGTGTTTGCATAAGTCTGTGCAAAACACATTATGAGCTCAACCAATCAAATCAACCAAAACAATCAATCAGCCAAAGAGAATTTGCAAATGATCATGAATACATTTTAGAGGAAAAATTAAAATGTCTGTATTCTTTGCATTACTGTTATTTTATAAAAGAAATAAAAGATGTTTTTCGTGTTTGCACTGGCTTATGCAAGCATCGGAGACGTTTGTGAAAACTCTCGAGCTTGCACTAATCTGCTCTCGAGTTCTCGCAAAGGTCTCCTCGGTTTGCATAAGCCCGTGCTTTAACATCTTTTATCTCTTAAATATAACAGGCTGATTAGAGCTGTTATTCTTTAAAATTACCTGCATGATTCAATTTTTGGAGAACTTGCAACTAAAGGTAAATAATCGTAAGAATTGTAAAGGATGGATGTGTAAATAGATGCATAAAACATTATCAGAAAATGTCTGTGTACGGTATACGAATATTATTGTAAATAACTGGGCAAATTGTGGCAAATTCAACGCAGAAAACAGCAATAATAGTAGAAATATAGCAACGACATTACAGTTTTCTTCAACTTTTTCTTAATTTATCTTTAACTACTGTTATATTTGTTGTTCCTAAAAATGTAAATTTATTGCTATTTAAAGTTTCTCCACTTGAATGATTCTAAGGTCCAGTAATTTCGGTGAGCCAGGAATAAAGAGTAGCTACTTTAGTAAACACACTGTAACCATCTGCGCAATCTTTTCCCCCAGCTTATGATACTTTCAAGATTCCACGAGCCGCCATTTTCACAGACCAGGGGGCCTATAAAGACAAAGATATATTTCTTTATTGGTGTTCAATGTCATGTTCGCTTCAAAAACATTACAAATAATCTAATGGTATTTTATCAATTGCTTATCACATGGCAGCTAAGAATGAGGTCATTTTTAATTTGGGAAGTGCAAATACAATTCAGAATACTTTTATACCTTCACTGTCTCCATGACATGTACCAACACATCCCCCGGTATATCCTGCACAAAGCATTCTATCTATTATCTTGTTTCCTTAAATTCTTTTACATTCTTCAGTTGCCACAATTGGAAGTAGAGATTTTTGCAAAATCTCTGTTAATTTTCCATTACTAAGAAGATTTCTCCAACCAGTAATGTAACAATATTGTTCTGTTGACATAAAAATATCCATTACTGCCCACAATTTTATGGAAGATAATACAAAAAATACGCCAAGAAAGATCCATATTGAAATCATTATTTGTGAAAACAAACAAGACAATTTTCATAAAGAATTATTTCTATTGTTTACAAAATCATCATCTAACTCAATTTGTAAGAAATTTGATGATATCTGTTTTTTCAAATGTTGAGTTTATCATGTACCATTTTGATAAATGATGAATTTTTTTCAAAAGCTGAGAAACCAAAAGCTTATCACACTTGAGAAGAGTAGAAATTTTTTGCCTCATTGTTATTAACAGCCAGTTAATTAACTACGTTATTTAGTAATATATTAAAATCTTAAATTTGTAGCATTTGTTTCATGTTCTAAAAGTCTAATGTTTTCTTACCAGTAAAATTAATTTTTTCGTTTACGCCGACGGGTTTGATTCTGAGTGTGATTTGGTCGACAGTTTCTTCCATTTCAATAATAGCAATATCGTAGTCTTTTGTTTTTGTGTTATACTGAGGATGAATTGTGATTGCATTTCTCATTATGTCAAATTTTTTTTGTGTCCATCAGGATGCTCTGTGTTGTGCGCCCCTAGTGCTACCTAAAAACATTATAGCTAAGTCTCACAATTTGTTGATAAAAGTATTAGGCGCTTCCAAATACGGTACAACATTCAAATACTTGGATGAGTCATAATCAAAACTACTGATAAAACTTCAAGTTGATACACCCTTAACAGATAGCAAACGTTGATACATGACTGATGACTAGTTGTCTCATCAATGCATAGGGTGTCTTAAATCTATAATGCAGTTTTTCAGAGCTTTGGGTTAGTGCTTAAAGTCTAACACAGCTCTTTACAGAACTCTTTGGTTTCTCTTGGTTTTCTATGGTCTTTCTTGTTTTTTTCGTTGTTTTTTTTGGGGGGCGGCTGCTGGCCATTCATCTTAGAAATTACACTTTTTACGGCAAAATTGAAATGTGCCTTTGCAATAAAGTTTCTGTTTTATTATTTCGAAGGGCTGAGTAAAGAAATTATATAAATGTTTCAAATGACCTTTTCACAGGGCAATGAAAGAATTTATGCACATTTTTGCACAATTGAAGCAGAATTACATGTACTTGATTCCAATCTGGTCCGTCAACACAATGAGCTGCTGTAATTATATATTTATCTGATACCAAAGAACAACCGCAGATTAAACCATCAACTGGATTCCCCAGCGCAACTTGCCAAGGCCATTCACCTGGGAAGGCATCTTGACCTCCGACGATCTTGGTTATATCACTAACACCTCCGACGATCTTGGTTACGTCACTAACACCTCCGACGATCTTGGTTACATCACTAACACCTCCGACGATCTTGGTTACATCACTAACACCTCCGACGATCTTGGTTACGTCACTAACACCTCCGACGATCTTGGTTACATCACTAACACCAGCTGCTTATTTCCACATGATTCTGGTGGAAGTTTTGGAATTGCTGCGCATTTTCTATGGCTAAGATATATTTCGTCTAAAGCAATGTCTCCTTTTTCACTATTTCCTTGTGTAGCACTGAATACAATCAGCTTGTGTAAAGAAAAATTGTTGTCAACATCAACTTTAAAATAGCTACATCGCATTTCTTTTTAGTATCTAACAAGTATTGTGACAGGTCCCTTTAAAAGAATCTTCCATATTTTTACATGTATACAAAGTTTTTCTACGATAAAAAGGATTTTTTTTTGTTTGAAGTTATTAACTATTGTAGGAATGCATTTGTTTTAAAGAAAGGAATATTGTGAATGTTAAACAGACAGGATAACAACAGTTGTAAGCCTCGACTTTTTCTGACGTATTTATAGCACTATTCGTAACAAAACTTGACCAATGCGTAAACAACTATTCAGGAATTGTCAGCAATATCACGAAATAGGGTGTGACTCAGCTTTTAGAGTGTGACTCAGCTTTTAGAGTGTGACACACCTTCTTTCGAATAAATCCAGGTGCTGAAGCATACACAGGTGCCAAATTTTGTATCTTGCACATGAGCAAGTCTGCTTTTTCTCCAAATACAACGGTGGCACAATTACCAAGCTTAATTTTCTGGTCTCTTGTCAACAGAAGCAGTTCATTTTCAAATTATATTGGTGATGACAAATCTTCCCATGCTGGATGAGTAATCATCAAAACAAACAATATAAATTCATATTGATTCACCCTGAACAAATAGCAGACTTGACCTGATGAGTAGTTAGCTGAGCTCCATATAATGTGTGAATTCCCTAAAACAATTCTTTTCAGAACTTTTGGGTTGGTGCTCTCATTTTAACTCTCAAAACCTGAAAGTTTTAACAACGTTTGTTTTATAGTGAATTTTGTTTGATTTGATCATGTGACTGACATGTTTATGCAATTTTACATTGATAAAATGCTGCAGAAAACTTACATGTGTACATTCAAGGCGCGATTATCAATAATTGAACATATAACATTAGAAAGTGCTGTGACGAACTCTACCGCGATTTCAAGAAACAAAACATTTGTTTTGTTTTTGTATTGCTTGGATTGGAAATTGAGCTCGTTTTTTCAAGTTTTATTTTTATAATTCATACTTGCAGAATTAACATTTGCAATATCGATGTCAACTTTTGCTTTATTCCATTGGTTTCCTTGATTACCAGATTTCGTAAAAACCATTTGCCAATTGCCCATGTTGCCATTATAAACATTTAATTTTCCAATATCACTACCAAACATATGGTAAGAAAATGTTAAACACCACTGAACACTTGTGAGCGTTGGAACGAAAAGGTTTGCTTCATCACCTTCTTTTTTTTGGTGGGATGCATTAATATAGATGTAGTAGCCTGAAATATTCAAAATATTTAACAAATAATAAACTCGATAATGGTGTTATTTTATATTATGCTTCCATTCAAATTTTTTTATTACTTGTTACTCGTTGCACATTGATCACGACTATCTAGTATAATTTAGCTTTTAAATGCCTAGAAATTTTTAACTTATAATTATTCTTTGTATATACAATACTTTATTTCAGAACAACATGTAAATACATCATTATTAAGAAAAAGGAAACCCAGAGGTTAGCCCTATCTCAAGGGTCTCCTATTTATGTAAAAAATATTACAGAACTAGTTAATAAAAATAAAAAATAATAAATAAAAAATAAATAAATAGTAAATAATAAATAAATAAGAATGCGAGTTTGAGTTGTAGTTTATGTGGGTGGTTAGATCTCGATTTAGTGTTTTTACAAAGTTCAAAATATTCGCTGAAATTCAATCCATTTAGATTGAATACAGTTTTGTAACATTCCACTAAGGAAAGGAAATCTCTCCTTTGTACTAAAGAGTTCCATTTAAGAATTTTACACCTCTCCGTGTACGCCATCTCTTGTCTTCTTTGGCCTAAGGCAATTCGCGAGGCTCTTCTTTTTATCTTCTCAATTTCATCGATGTCTTTCATGAGGTGTGGTGACCACACCGGGCAGGCGTATTCCAAGATTGGACGAACCAAGGTTTTGTACAAGTTTGAAAAAGTACCTTTGTTTTTACCGCCTACTGTGCGTTTAAGTAAGCCAAGAACCTTATTGGCTTTGTGAACTATTTGTTCAACATGTTTTGACCATTTTAGATCACTAGACATAATAACTCCAAGATCTTTGTAATTAGATACATTCCTCAACACTGTACTTGATATATTGTACCGCATGGACTTTTTGTCTCTGTTATGTGTAATTCTCATGACTTCACATTTGGTAGAATTAAATTTCATCTGCCAACGATCCGCCCATAGGTCGAGGGTTGTCAGATCTATCTGTAAAGCAATAGAATCATCGATATTATTTATCTGTCGGTAGATTTTGGTATCGTCAGCAAATAATTTGTCAGTAGACGTGATGATGCCAGGTATTTCGTTCACATAAATAAGGAACATAACCGGTCCCAGTACTGAGCCTTGAGGGACACCAGATGTAACTGGTGACCAATCCGAGTACGATCCACGTACCATAACTCTTTGTTTTTAACTTTTTTGTAATTCACATTGAAATGCACAATATGGACTTCATACTAATAATCAGCAAGCTTTTATGTTCAAACTTCAAAAATAAAAACAGCAAAAGACAAAAAGCATTTGTATTCTATAATCTAAAAAATAGTTTCTAGTCTCGCGAAAATTCTCATTTTCTTGTTATCGTTTTTAATAATCTTAATTAAACCAACAAACTAATTAAAACTGGAAATATTTCGAAGATGAAAAAAAACTTGATTTCGATACCCAGCAACTTTAGAGAGGTGCTTAATCTGATGTAATAAAGTTGGGCTTGAAGTTTGCCATGTAATCGCTAAGCACGGTGTTGACTTGACAGAACTTATTACACAGCAGAAATACAGAAAAACTAATCAATAGACTTTCCAAGAAGTTTTCAATCCTGCTTTATATGTCAATAGTGATCAAGATGACTTGAATAACGAGGAATTTATCCATGATATGGGTATTTCATGTTTACCGATAAAGTCGTTCAGCTAGGTTAGTAGAGTCCTGACTCCTGAGAAGAATTGCTGCTGTTGATGTTCACCAACTATATCGACTCATTTTCACTTCGGAATCAAGTTAGGAGTAAACCCTGAAGAACCTGACGTTCCTCACTTGTCCTTAAAGAGCACCGTATTTATGGCCGGGAAAAAGTTAATAAGCAATTAAGCATCGCAGTACTAAAACAAGCATTTATGGTGTATTATTTCGTTCACTGGCGTTCATGAAGTTTGTATTCATTCCAGCGTTTGTCAAACGTGGTAGTTTCCGGATCTTATCAAAGGCAACTGTATGTGATGATCGATTTATGTTTGATCAATATTTTTTATACCCGCACGTGAGATCGCTTTCTAGTTCTTAGAAATTTGCCCATTCGGTAAACACGCGTTGAAGGCTACAGTTTGGTAGCCAAAAGCTTATCAAACTTTATATTGCTTGTGAAATGAAGTAATTGCGTATGTGTACCTGATCCACTTGCATCTTCACTGGGGCCTGTTTCATTGGTTGATGTTGGACCTTTTTGAATTTGCCAATTAAAGTCTCCTGGAGCATGTTGAAAATTGCAGATATTTCCCTTGTCAAAATTGCAGTTTCCTGAATTTTTTATTTCAATAAGTAAATACCAAGCGTTAGTTGTTTTGTTACCTATATGTGTAGCTATTGCTTTTGCAAGTTATTGCTGCCATAGGGGAGGAAGCACCCTAATTTAGTAGTGCTCACTCCTATTCGCGAACTGTATAAAAATAAAAAATTTCGATTTGATGTTTGAAATGTGTGTTTGTTTGATAGAGGGCTAGACTATAACACCTTACTTAATATTGATAGTATCCAATTTGCCGCCGCAAATATGGCAAATATAGTGATCTTACTTCACCAAAGTCAACAATGTACTCACTAGATGTGTAAGAACAACTATATTTCAGTTTTTAACGTTTTGTTTGACATTTGGATTTCATGCAATATATCTACGCTGTGATAAATGAATAAATCAATGGGTTTTAATTCCAAGATCAAAAATATAAGAATGAATTCCTCAATTTCCTTTTTTCTTATGTCTTCAGTTGAGGTAAAATATAAAACCAGGAAAAATCCTGCAGGAAATTTGATTTTTTAAATGTTAGAGATGAAGGGTGGACAAATTACAAGTTAAAATGTTTTAATTCATCATGTTATATTTAGATTATTAAGTTATTGTGGCTTAATTTGTTGTTTTTGAACACTTAGTTAATCATTGTCATCAAATTTTGAGTTTATTTTTCTGTAAGATTCAACTCAGAATATTATTTTTTAATATGAATGGTAAACAACATATATGAATCGTAAACTTACCTACATTTTGTAGATGCCATTCTGATAGTATAATTAACAAAAGAAAAATACAGTACAATCAATCATAACGACTTTCTTACAAAATATCAAAAATCACTTGTGTCATATAATTTCACGTGAATTATGTCCTACTAGTTTTTAAGCTTTATTTGATCCAAGAAACACGTATATTTTTTGCTATGGCAACATTTTACACTGAAGCATGGCGATTTCTTTAAATTTTTTCTACTAGGTCAATGAAACTTGATTTTCTTCAACATTTGAAAAGTAAAAATAGGATTAAGGCTTATCTTTTATTTCTTACATTATTTTAGTTTTTTGGTAAGTATGCCATTGAACTTAAGCAACATTAATATGTATGTATTATCAAGTTACATTGTGCCATGTCGTGATTATTTTTTAGCCATATTTGTGTTTTATCCCCTAACTTTTATATCCGTGTTTTATTCTTTTAAATATGTGTTTTATACCAAAATCCGTGTTTTATCCTCACATCCGTATTACATCCTCAGATCCGTGTGATGACGCTGATACGTGCGCTTTATCCCGTGATCCGTTTTTATTCTTCTGATGCGCGTTTAATCCCCTCGTCCGCGTTTTATTCCCTGATCCGTGTTTTATGAACAGGATAAATCTGAATGGTATTTTTTCAACTCAAGATCATTTTAAGGTTATTTTGTCCTTTAATATTAAAATTTCATGCACTCAAGCATCACTACCGGAAAAGGCATCTCTAATATGAAATATTTGCTTCTGTAAACAGAACTTTATATACATCTCACACCCGCATACCAACTTATTAATTTATTTACAAGATCACCATTGAGAAGTATGTGACGTTATAATACAATGTGCTAAATAGATGATATTCAGACTGACATCTCTGTGCCGTGGCGTGGTGGCATAATTTTTAGTGTGGTGGCCAAAACAAATTTTGCGCCCCTTTCACCTTTTCTTATAGCTATTTTCAAGTATTTTAGTTATTTTTATTTTATAAAACACAAACATGAATCTTCATAAAAAAGAAAGTAACTTAAAAACCAAGTATCAACAAGCAATTATATGTCTGTTACGTTATTTGTTTTTCATTTTCAATGCCTTTGCAAGCGCTGGGGAGGTTTTCCCAAGTAAAGTTATGATTCTATCTTTGTCGATAGAAAGGAGAGTTTCTCTTTCAACTTCCATTAAAAGCAATGATTCCAGGCGTTCCTGCACCATCGTAGATCGAATCATCGTTCAGCAGTTGCTGAGCTAATAGATATGGCCACTACAATTAAAATAAACTTTGCATAATGTTGGGTATGCGTCGACTAAATGGTACTTTGGAAAACAAAGCAGCTTCAAGGCATCTAAGAATGACGGAGTTTTAGCCTTATCGGTAATTGACGCATTATTTGAATGCTTACTTATCCCAGCATCAGAATGATTTTCATCATCATCATCACCATCACCAACATCAATACTTTCAAAGTTCTGCTCATTATGATCGTGGTCACTTTGAGTTGTAAACTGAGAACAGTGAAATTTTTTAAATGTTTCTGTAAAGCTTAACAGTTCAGTAGCGCATCTGTGGGAATCTATATTATACACAACACAAAAGGCTTTCACTGCAGATTGAAGATCGTGAGATGTCTTGTACTTGCTCGAGAGCTCGTCAAATTGACTAGGTGCGAATAAAGCAAATGATATCATTAGTGGTCGATTCTTTTCAAAACGATTCTTCATTGAAGATTGAATGGAATCTAGCACTTTACAAAATGTGTCTCGCCTCCATTGTACTTTTAATAAATCAGCCATATCATCTTTGGCTTGTTCTCCGTCCATTGGTCGTCGACGACGAGGTCGTGTAGACCTCCATTCGACATCTAACGCAAAAGAATCGGACATTTTAATGATTTTTTCTGGTTTGTCACGTATGATTTGAATTCTAGAAATTGAGCTATCAACCATATCCATTGCTTTTCCAAAGTCAGCATTTACGCTCTGTAGATATCGACTTAAAGGTCCAGTAATTCCAAAAATTTCATGGAAAAGACAGGCAGTCACAACAAATTGCTTTGTCTGAAAAGCTGATTGCAATCCGTTTGCTGTTGCTCCCTGACTTTCTGTGAATGGTCTATTCTCAGCCACTTTTTGGAGCACTCGCATGATGCACTCGAACCTCAAAAGAAATATGTTTAGACAAAATTCTCTTCATTTCATCGAATTGTATTAAGACGTTTAATTGAAAAAATTTTGAGGTTTTCATTCTTTAGAACCAATCGAAACAATTCGTGTACTTTATGAGAATTATTAAAGAGAACGTGCAGTTTTTCGAGAGAGTCAAAAAGAGTAATGACATCTATAGCAACACAAGCTGAATCGGACAAGACGAGATTTAGGGTATGCGCATAGCAGTCAACATAGATGATGTGGTTTCCGATTTTCTTTTTTACAATTGCTTGCAAACCATTATAACATCCGCTCATAGTGGATGCTCCGTCAAACGTTTGGGCAACAAGCTTTTCAAATCAAACTCCATGCAATTGTAATATTGTTGTAATAGTAGTGTATAGGTCATGCGCAGTTGTTCCAATTGCTTTTTGGCATGACAATACGTGTTCAGAACACTCACCAGTTTCATTAACAAGCCTTACGCATATACTCAATTGCTCTGCATGAGTTATATCGGGTGTTGTATCAGCAATCAATGCCCATGCTTTACAGTTGCATATTTTTTGTACAATTACAGAAGATATTTCTTTACCAATGATATTGATTAACTTATTTTGAATATCGTTGCACAAAAACGTTAGCCATGATCCACGTCCTTTGATTCCTTTTCCATCAGTTTTAGTACCATCCTTTGTCAATTGTTTTAAAACTGTTTTGTTTAAAACAACTTCTTTTTTACGTCTTTCAGACTCGATTTTTCCCTGGTGATGAAACTGATCCGATATTGAGTTTTCTTGAAGGAAAAGAGCTTCTGCAACTTTTGCGTTTAGATGAGAATTGCATTTTTCATGCTCCAGAATTCTAATATACTGCTTTTTCCATTTGGAGAAACTAATGTTTGCAAAAGCTTTTCCTTGATTTGACCGAATATTTTCTCCCCTAGACGTTACATCTGTAAACAGAATCCATGGTATGCAAAACAAGCTGTCTTCACTTAGAGTAGGAAATCCATTTTCGTCTTGTTCCATCATCGTAGAAAAAAACCTGCTGGGAGCAATAGCGAGTGCGATCTCCTTGTACTATCCTCCTTTGTTTCAAAACAAACTGGATGGTTGGCATGGATTCATTTTAAGTAAACGCCTTTTTTCGCTAATGCTAAGATTAAGACCAACAACTGTCCCAGGGTCAAACGTGTTTTCTTTCGTATCAATAGAAATATTTTGATTTAATTCATTTTCAGCAGATTCTGAGATGCATTCGTCTGATTTTAGTCTGTCTACTTCCTTTCTTCCCTAATTCCCTAAAGTTAACTTCATTCAGTGAATATATAACTGTGAAAATAACTGTTCTTTTTCAAATGCGTTTTTAATTTTTTTATAGCCTAAATTTAAAACTTGATGACTCGTATTCAATTCAGCGCCCCCCAAAATCAACAGCTAGGGGGGCCCTGGCCCCCCTGCCCCCCCTGCCACCACGCCACTGTCTCTGTGTTATCTTTTGTCGTTTTTATATGCCTTTCAAAAACAAATGTCTAGCAACAACATTCTTTACACAAAATAAAAAAGCAATGGAGGCAACTCTCCATTTGTATATCTTAGTAAGAAAATTTACTTTATTAGTAAGAAAATATAAAATTGACGTATGGGAAAAAGTTAACCTTTTTAACAAGATATAACCAAACAAAAAAAATCGTTTTTTTTATTGCCAGTTTCATTTATATTACTTCAATTTATCTACTTTTACTATCAACGTCATTTAGCAAAATAGGTGCATATGAAAAACTTCCATAAATCGCTTTATTTGTCATTCGTATTGCTTATGCTTCTACCTAATGAAACTTTTGAAAAAGTAATTACCACGCTCTTTTGTAAGGCGAATTAAATACCTGGCTTTTTAGCTAGTTAAACATTGTTCTAACATCCCCTTTCTCCCCAATTTGTGACCAATATTACACCTCTGTAAAAACATGGTTTGAAATCAACTACATTGGAGGGTATGAAACAAAAGTTGCATATTCATAAAATGTTCCAGTTGGTCACTTACCCCTAACAAAACTTATATTAAAAAGTGTGTAAATGTGGAATCTCCGATGTCTAAACCATAAATGCTTTAATGCATGCGTAATTCCTATTTTCATATTTTCATTTTTATCCATCAAGATTGAAACAAAATTGTGTGAGGATATTGAAGAAGTATATATATTGCCTTTCCTACCTCTTAGGAAAACTAAGAAATTTTGTCCTGCTAAATGATAAGCGGCTTGAACTTTTCGTGATTTTTGTTGTTCAAGTTCTCGAACTATATAGTCAATGCTTTTTGCTTAATAACTCTCATGCCTCCTTATTTTGTAACAGAAGTAGAAAGAGCAAGTTTTTAGACTTGATACTGTCAATAAGTTTTTACGATCCTTGTCCACATTTTCTTTGACCATTTTGGATAGTGATCCATATTAAATAAAGATTCCTACATGCCTACAAGAAGCATAATTGAGCCAAGAGATAACAACGTGCACACTCCCTGTGAAATTGTTTTACTTGTGGCAAAAAATATTCAACATGTTGAATCACTTTTACAACGGCACGCGTGCCAAATTTGCCGAAAATCACACTGCACACCTGCCTAAGTAATGTTTCTTAAGCATCACCAGTAACTCTTTTGTGCTTCGTATATAAGAAGTGAGCAATCTTGTTTATTCATTGTATAGACTTCATATTCACACCTTCACAAAAAAAATTCGGTAAGAGGTAAGTGATTAAAACCTTTTTCTTTACCAATTACAACCTACTTATTTTGCCTATTTTATTAAAAGGCTTTGACAGTGATTGTAAATTGTGCTACGACAAATCAAACTCGCGAAGACTAAGAATGACTTTATGTTAGCTAGGTTACCTCAATTTAACAGTTTGAAATAGAGCTACAAATATTAAGTGAAGTGAGTAACCTTCAATATCAAGGAAAGTTTATCTGCACATTAACTGAACATTTTACTGCTGAGATCTGAAGAAATTTTAATCTTACAAAAAAAAAGTTATATGTTTGTATGAGTATCTTAATATGATCTTGATTGGTCAACATTCTGTTCAGATTCATCCTGTTCCTGTAACGTGCAAACATTTACCAATTTAATTGAGCATAAGAAAATATAATGTAAAGTTGATTATCCAACATCAGGTTATTTAGCATTTTTTGTTGTAACGTGTGATTTAACCATTTCTCACCAAACTTTGCCAAACTTTGCAACATCATTGAAAACATGTATCCAAAGCTCAAAGGACCAAAGATTTTGGGAAGTAAAGGGTCAATCAATGTGATGTTTATGTTGGCCATGCAAACATTACATGAGAGCCAAAGTTCTTCATCATCTCAGTCTTTCTTTGTATATAGAGTTGTATAAATTGAGTTTAAAAATGGACTGTTTTTGCTGCACCCAGCTCAAATAAAGAAAAAATAGTTTTACATTCTTTTAATATAGACGTTCCATCAATGAGGCATATCATACAAAACGGAAAGATTTTTGAAAAAAATTATTTAAAGCATTTTCGTTTGCATTAAAAACAAAATTTTTCTCAAAACATAAAAACAGCGGGACATTTATGGGAAATTAGTGCAATATGATATAAGAATATTTTTATCGTTGTTTGTACAATAAATTTCAACTGTGAATACATACATTTGTGAACTCTCTGATTGTCATGTGACTAAGGGCATTTGAAACATTGGTATGAACTGCTGTACTGATTAAATAAATATATAAATATTTGGAATTACTCTTTAGTGGTGAATAGTGATATTTCTAATGTTTATAGGTGAGACTAGGAGAGTACGACAGAACAGTAAAAGATGAAGGTGAAAAAGACGTGAGCGTTGAGAAATACCATTTTCACTCCCGTTACCAAAGTACAACAACCGGCTATGATATTGCTATTATTCTGTTGAAAGATCCAGTTGATTTTATATACAAAATAAAACCCGTACGCATGAACAAAAATATTGATTTTACTGGTAAGAAAAAAAGACTTATCAATAGAAAAGATGTCTTTGCTTGAACAACTCATCAAAAAACTGTAAATGAAATAACTGTTAATTGATTCTGTTTTATCTAGTGTCTAAAATTTGACTGAATCCTACCGTGCAATGCTTACAAATATTGTCCCTTGACTAAACAGTAATTTTGTACAAAAAATTTTGTATTTCTGTTTGTTAGTTCAAAAAATTTTCACCTGTGAAGAGGTACCATAAAACCCACGTTATTAAAGATATTAATGCAAGTGCTTCGAAGTTTAATTCGCAGCTCTTTGCTAGGACCGAATTAAGGTTTTCTGTAATCCTGCGCACTTAGTGAGTTTGGGGGCCCCCATATGAATTTTGTACACTACGGAAGCAGATTAATTTGTGGTTCATAATTTCCTGGCAGTTGCAGTTGTATTTATACATTGAATGAGAAGGCACAACGCATGCAGCTTTAGGCTTTCCATCAATTGAAGCATGTGAGTGATGGAATAACAATGGCTTTTCAATAATGAAATATTATCAAGCTGCAATGGCGTAAAGATTTTAGCTCTATAACAGAAAGTATGCTCTGTGCAGGGTATGCCAATCAAGGTATTCGCACATGTTTTGGAGACAGTGGAGGTATATAAAGAAATAGCAATATAAATCTATTTACAACTAATGAAAAATTATTGTTACTGTTCCAGTGAGGTCATGTAAAGTAACCAAGCTACAGCTACTCAGCTCACCAAAATTGATGCTTGTATATTACATTTTGCTGTAAAATATTTTAGTCTGCAAAGCATTTCTCATGCATACATTTTCAGTCCTAGTTAGCCCAAAAAAAAAAAATGTACAAAATGTGTTCAAAAGATTCTCATTTTAAAGCTAAGCCAGAACTGAAATTAGTCTATTCTTTAAATTTACCTAGAAAGATCGTAAAAAATTCATGAGTTTTATATGAGCACGAAACACAACAATCTAAATTCTGTTGCATTCCATTTCTAAAATGCATTCTATCAAGGGTGTGCATACAAAAAATTGAACAGTTAGGAAAACGTCTCTAAAATTATCAGCGCGCTATATTTTCAAAAACCTTTGGTGGAAAAGTTCCAATGGTTCATCCGACAGAAAAATTGCTGCAAATAATAACCATTTTTACAATGAGAAGATGTACTTTTGAAATAACTTGCGCACGAAAATGAAAAAACCTATTGGGACACATTGGGTTAAAATATGGCACATGTTGTTTAAGCGGATAATTTTCAGAAAATTTGGTTGACGCGAATGAGAAACCTATACTCCCTTAAACTTTCAAATCTTGGGTTATTTTAGAATTTTTGTTTTTAAATGCCATTTTGTCACAATCCTCATCAAATATGTTCAAATCAGAGCTAAATTGATGCAAACATGAATTACGAAGGCTTTTTAAAAAATGGCATTTATGAAGACGAAAAACACAAAATGATATGCAATTTGAGCGTTTGCATATTCAAGTATTGCTTAAATTTCCTGAAACCTTGTTAGCTTGAAATATATGAGCCATATTTAAACCCAATGTTTTCCAATTGTTTTTTAACTGATCATTTCTTTGTGCAAGCTATTTCAAGAGTTTCCCAAAAATAAAACTCTTATCATAAAAATTGTTATTATTTGCGACAATTTTAATGACACAGAAACCATTAAAGGTCTAATTATACCTATTTTCATTAAAGTTTCTTGCAAATCTTTCGCGCTGATGATTTTAGCGATATGTTCTTCACAGACTTTTTCACATATGAAATTACAGAGAGAAATTGAGCACTTGCTACATCCTTGCTGGCGAAAAAGGAAAGACGTAAAGTGCACTGGATTATGTAGGACGCAGAGACGCACTTTTTAACATGGTGGCTAGCTGTGCATGGGTAACAGCTGCCACAAAAGACCATTGCATTATCTCTGGCAAAAATATGACTTAGAACATTAAACAAAAATTTTTTTATAGGTCCGCTGGTCTGTCGAAATGATGACTGGTATCTTACAGGTATCACAAGTAAGGGACCACACGTATGCGGAACCAAGTACGCTGTCTTCACGAATGTAGCCTATTTTCATAACTGGATCCTCGAAGTTATTCAACATCTTTAATTTGAGAAACTTTAGGTATTCATAGATTTACACTTTAAGTAACGACAGATATAATGCTGTACTCAAATGTAAATTGAAGAAATGTTAAAGCAAACAACAATAATAATGGTATATTTCGTGTATCCATCACTTATTTCAGTTTTAATCATTCTAATTTGTTTTATAATTTTCTATAATTAGTTATCTTTTATATCAAAGCGTTCTGAAATAGTCAGCGGTGAGGCTGAGACAGGGAATGGGGGTAATACATCCCTATCAGGAAACCCTAAACATCCTGTCGTAAACGACAAGGGTAAAGAACGAGCAAACTAATACATAGTTCAGATAGTACAATTCAGATAGTTCTTGTTCATTTGTAGGTATCGGCAGTAAGCTCTGATTTATATAAAAACGGCTTCACAACAGCTTTCACACTTCAAAATTTTTGAAAACTAAAAAATAGTTTTCTGAAAAGTACTCACTCTTGAATTCAGCATCAATAATACTGATGAAATATTCTTTTGTATCGGACCACTAACATGGCTTAATTGCAAGTCAAGAATTACTGCAAGATGGTTAATAGCCTTATTTTATCTAATAATAAATATATCAAAGCACTGCATGCAAGACTGGTCCATTAATCCATGCATGCACTAAATGAGAAAACACAGTCCAAAAAACATCATCTTGTAAACTCATGATTTGAGTTATAATAGCAAGAGATAAGATTTAAAGCAATATTTTGACTTTGTTTCAAAATCATTATCAAGCTAAGTGATATTAGCAAGCTAATTTAACTATATGGATAAGATATTATTTTTAAATCAAATTATGTTCTTCTAAATTCTCATTGCGTTGATGTATAAATAATGTTTACATTTTGTCTTATAAAGATTTTCCATGGATTATTTAACTTTTAAACAACAATTTTGACAAGGCGTAGTGACAAGAACCAGATAGTTCTTCTTCGCTGTCAGAAACTTTCGCTCCTCGATCTAAGACTTCCAGTTGCAACCCTGAAAATTAATTAATGCTCAAGGAGTTCTACCAATGTGCTCAAAAACACAACTTTCGCTGCACATATTTCACAACTAATAATTGCTTTCATAGTGTTATAGAGAAAACGCAAAATTAAGTAATGAATGTTGTTCCACGCGATAAGTGTACGCAATAAGCAGATATTTTAGTTTTATTCACAATGACATCATCAATAGTTATCAAGACCAGAAAATTTGCAAATTTGAAAAATTTTAAGGTACCAATAGATAGAATAGTTGGAGATGGGTAAAAAAAATATGTTACACCGTTTACTTTCTGTTAATCGTTTACGAAGCATAAACAAATGATTTTTACCATGACGCTGACTAAGAATTTTAAAGTCTCGCCTTAAAGACTTATAACACAAGCAGACCTGCCAACTTGCCCAGTTTTATAAGCTGTCAGCTATATCTCCAAAAAATCTTAGATCACCAAATTTGCAATATTTTCACCCGTTTTAAATTTTTGCTACAGCATGTTTTTAGTAGAATAATTTGAACAAGTAAAGTCGGAGTGAGTGCTTGATTAAAATTGTATTCAACAATGCATGAAGGAACAGAAGAACTCGATAAAAGAGAATTGTGTAAAAAAATCAAACAGAAATTATGTGACGGCTGATAAAACTGGGCAAGTTAGCAACTTAGCAGGTCTGCCTGTGGTTTAAGACAGGACCTAAAATGCTAAGTAGCATCATGGTAAAAACATTCGTTGATCCTTCAAAAAGGATTTACTGAAAGTAAACGGTGTAATATAGTATTTTTCTCATCTAAAACTAGTCTATCTAATGGCACTGACAATTTTTTAAATTTAGAAATTTTTAGTTTTGTTAACTGTTGATGACTTCATTGAGTAAATATTCATATATTCAGCTCTGCCCTGCTGATTTCTTTTGAAATTAAAATCACCAGCAAAAGAAATCAGTGGAGTAAAGTTTCATATATGAATTCTTACCATGCATGCACTAACCCCACCCCCACCACCACTGATTAGCGTTCTAGTTTCGCCCCTGGTTGCTGCTTGGTCAATTTCGATCTCTGAGAACAATACCGGGTACAAAATATGGAAATGGAACTGAACTTAAGATTGCTAGAATTGCCATTAGTCTGCCATTAAGAAATGCAAGCTAAAAAGGCTTTTAGCAAGTTAAAACTTATAAAGAATCATCTCAGAACGATAATGGTAAATTCAAACATTTCTTTGCCCCTCATTTGTCCCCATATTCATTTACACCTGGCGCGGCCACAGTTGATTTTGCGTTTATTGCTTCTAATTTGTCTTCAATGAAAATTCTGAACCTTAGGCCCGTTTTAAACGTCACATTTTATATGCGCCGAATGCATTTAAAACAAAAAGATAATGAGATAAAATTTCTTATTATCTTTTGTTTTAAATTCATTCGGCTCATGTAAAATGCGACGTTTGAAACAGCCCTTAAATGTGTTCAGTTTTCAATTCTGCTAGACAAGATTAGTGGTGTTAACATGGTGTTAACCAGACCGTAATATTATTTATATTTTACAAAAATTGTCATTTTTCCTTTGCTTTAGATTGTGTATTTATTTCCAATGACTGAGCATGCAATGAGCATAGCATAATATTTTCATAGCAAGGACAAAGAAGGTCCTTACTACTCTATTCCTGCGAGACAACTTTCTTTAATGTAATCAACTCGTCTTTAATCATTCAAATCTGACGTCTGTTTCAAGCGTCGATTTTTACATTTGCCAAACGCATAAATGTTGAAGATAAATGTTTGTTTTAAATGCATTCGGTTCGTGTAAAGTTGCACGTTTGAAGCAGGCCTAACTCAGATATCGTTAATGAAAAAAGTGACATTATAATATCATCAACCGTTTAATTCAGAAAGTGTATTCTTGTTCAGTTGTGGCAGATTTCTGATCGAGCAGTCGGGGTATGTTTCTTTTAACTTTCTACATTTAATTTTTACTTAACTTTCATGTGTATTATTGATGCTACTATATGCAAACACAGAAGCACTCACTGATTGAATCATTAGTACAAGCTACGCAGTGGCGTGGTGACAGGGGAGGCTAGGGCGGCCAAGGCCCCCCAGCTGTTGCGTATGGGTCACAAAGTTTTAAATTTGAGCTAGAAAGATGAATTGAAGCTGGATAGTTATTTCCACAATTATAATATACAGTTAAAGAAGTTAACTTTGGGGAAAAAGGAAGACTGATTAAAGTGAAACCTTGTAAGAGGGGTCGTTTTACAGTCAATTAAGGGATAAAGTAATTGAGGAGCATTTTGGATGTTTCTTATGTGGTCACAACACCTGACCTGTCAATTGTCACAATGACTGTAGACAACATACAGGGCCAAATTTAATGTCCTCTTAGGGGGCGCAACAAGGCCTAAAAATGTATAGTTTTTTTGCCTATTTCAATCAATTTTCTTTGCTTCCTCCCACAGACAGGAATCGTTAGTGGCATTGCTTCTTGTTATTAATCCAAGCTTAAGAATATTTTTTTGTGAGTAGCCTGCTCACAGGCTAACCACAATGTTCTACTAAAAAATGTCCAGATGTCCAGGTGCTAGGACGGCAATTCACGAATTGACACGACTACATGACGATGATGCGTTACGGAAAATATTCTAAAGTATAAAATTAAGGAAATTCGTAAAATTTTACTGGCAACAGTTCAAATAAACATCTCAAAATATCATACAGGTATACTAAAGGTTAGTATTAATACTGAACATCAATCATCTAGAATTCAAGACCTCCCGTAGGATTAGAAATAGAAATATAATTGTATAAAATTATGTTGTGAAGATTTTCTATTGAAGTGGGAAAAAAAATTAATTATTTGTTAAAACTTTTGAGATTTCTTGAGGACGTCGCTGCTCTTGTTATAGTGGCAAGCCTACTTAGCAGGTCTCTTGAGTCATTGACTGAAGCCTGTCTCTCAAACAGACGTCCGACTTGTTTCAGTCGTTTAAGTCAGTCGTCCATAGAACGCGAGCTAATAAACTAATAAGACGGACTTCTAGTTTGTGGTATTTGGAGACAAACTTGTCATTTTTGTTGACAAATGATCTACAATATTTTGGTTATCATTACAAAAAATCACCGTCGGACTTCTCTAGTGATTTTTCATGTAGTTAATTAAATACTAGCCATTTACGCACCCTCGCGTACTTATTTTTAATTTTCTAGTGGTAGCGCAGTCATCGGTAGAGAGTAATCAAAATGCAAAGGCTAACATAAAGTATTGAGACTCAATAATACTGCGGCATGTACTGCAAATTTTGTTAGTTCAAAGGTGAAGGGGGCGCGAAATTTGCTTTGGCCCCCGTAGTCAAAATTGCACCACCACGTCACTGAAGCTACGTCACGTTCATTTTTGATATTTATCCCCCTGCTAGAGTGACGATCAACCGTTGTTTGAATATATTTCTGAACTCAGTATGTGTAAATCAATCAAGTCTTGTATTTGATAACTATACGTAAATGTTATACATATTGGAAAGAAAAAGTAAACTTTTCAAATCAATCTTAAAATAATGACCTGTTATGATATCGGTGACGAATATCTGCACTTGAATTACGTTTCACATGTAGAAAGAGCTTCTAGCCTATAAATAATAAGATCAGAAAATAAATTGAAACTCTCTGAGTTTGGTGGTTTATTACTGGTCTTTTGATTTGTAATAAACGAGTGTTACAATTATGACAGGGGCTGGGGCGAAACTAGAACATTAATTATGGGGTAACAATGACCTAGAACCCAATCTACTAGATAACTGACTCCGCCAATATTGTATAGTATTGAGTGAGGTAAGCCGCCATCTTGAAAGGTGGCAAAACTGACAATATTTACGACTAATATCTGCTTTTATTGATTGGATATAGAGGCGAAAAGTTGATAGTCTAGGTTTAATTATTAAAATGTTTGATATGATGGGTTTTTTAAACTTTTTTTAACTTACTTTTCATTTTGAGTTTTTCTTTTTGCCACCTTTCAAGGTGGCGTCCTTGCCTCACTTTGACGTGGTGGTTAGACATCAAGAAGACTGGGTTCTAAATCATTGGGGGTAAATATTCATATACACAGCTCTGCCCTGCTGACATCTTTTCTTGGAT